TTTGGTAAAACCAAAGGAAAATTTTTATTTTTTTTCATACCAATTCTTCTTTCATCAAATATAAAGATGTCTGACGTACAAATTCGTTAACTTTATCCGAATCAAATTCTTCAATTGGTTTAGATTCGTTAAATAAACCATCGACTAAATTTTCCAACCATTCTTTAGGCACGTTACTTTTAAGACTTTTTAACAAAGCAACAATCATTCTATTTTTAATTGTACATTTTTGTTTTAATTCGTTAACTTTTAACTGTAATTAATAAATAATTAATCTCTCTCATTTTCTTCTGCTATTAACGTGTAAAAGGAATTTTTTTTTACCTGAAGAGATTTTGCCGAAGTATTTTTTTTCGCCACTTCCATTTCCGTTATTTTTTTAACTGTTTTATTTTCTTCTTCTAAAACGTTCGGATCTAATAGTTTTATTATCGATTGTGAATAAACTTTTTTCTCAACTAACATTTTACTCAATTCTATTTGATTTTTATTTATTTCTCTCATTAAAACTTTCAACAATTTCGTTTCCGTATCTAAATCTTTTAATTTTTGAATATTCATTTTGTTTATTAACGATTCTATGTAACTACTACTACTAATATTATTATTATTATTATTATCGTGTTCTATAGAAAACGGATAACTTCTATATCCGGGGGGTGGAAAATTATTTTTGTCGAATTTTCTTTGTACGATGTTATAACGATGACGTTGATTTTTTTTAATAAATCTCGTGACGACATCAATTGACAAATATGGAATTCTTTCTTCGACAACGTGAAAACAATATATGAAATTTTCAATTTTATTTTTTTCTAAAATGGCGATTATATTTATCGGTTTCGAAATGAACGATGCGAATTGTGAAATAAGGGCGAATAAAAAAACAGCAGAGTGTTTAATTGAAATTGCATTAACGTTTATTATTTCCTGTTTCCGTTCGCAAATAATTGATAAATTAGGATTTGGAAATTGTATGCTTTCGATTAAATTATACACGAATCCTTCCAATAAGAGAGCAGAATAATTTTCACGTGTGTTTGTATTTACTTCCGGTTGTTCTTTAACGATTGTTTCGAAAAACGTTTTTTTATCTGTTCGGGTTTAACCAATAATTGTATTTGTACTCCGGGATTGAAATTA